CGTCAACAGGATGGCGGCGCGCGAAGGAACCAGAAAAACGGCGCGAACATGGTCGCTGATTCGTCCGACAACAACCCGAAGAGCAACGCTGGTGCGGAGAAGAAGAAGGAGCGCACCGCGGGCCAGTTCTTCCATATTGGAGAGCAGGGGGAGCAAGGAGACGCATCTGCCAAGGTTGGAGCAGAGCTGCACTCCCTGGACTATTGGGTGTTGGACACGGGCGCTGCTTGGACGATGACGCCGCGCAAAGACCTGCTGGACGACGTACGCGCTGCACCGATTAACGAAGTGTGCTCCGCCTCTGGACACTCGCTGAAGGTGGCTGGTGCGGGACGAGCTGCGTTTAAGGGAGCGGATGGCAAGCCGGTGGTGCTGTACGGCGTTCTCCTCGTTCCCGACCTCAAGGCCAACCTCATCTCCCTCCGTAAGCTTGCCAAGGCTGGGGTGAGCACTAGCACGGATGGGGCTCGCACATACAAGGGGCAGCTGGGCAATCGGGTGCTTTGGGATCTGCACGAGAGCAAGGACGTGTACAGATCCATGTGGCAGCTGCCGGCGTTGGCGTGGCACGGTGGGGGGCAGGCTAGAGAGGGGTCTGCATCCCAGGGGGAGTGCAACGCCGTTGGAGGGGTAGGTGTGAAAGTGTCGGCCAGATCTGGGGAGACAGATTGGGCAACGGCACATCGACGCTTGGGGCATGTGGCAATGCCTTTGCTGAAGCAGCTGGAGAAGGATGGAGCCGTTAAGGGTCTGAAGCTGAACGGACAGCCACCCGATGATAACTGTGAAATCTGTTTGCTCTCAAAGTTTACCCGTTTTCCCTTCGATGGTGTGGCTGGCAGGAGCAAGAAGCCTTTGGAGCTGGTCCACATGGACTTGGTGGGGCCGCTGCCGGTTCAGGGGCACAAGGGGGAGCGGTACTTTCTGACCATAGTGGATGATTGGAGCAGACTCATGTGGGCGTATCCGCTGAAGCAGAAAGATCACGCCGCCTCCACGATTCGGGACGATTGGCTGCCATTTGTGGAGAAGCAAGCGGAATGTGTGGTGAAGCGGATTAGGACAGACCGGGGTGGTGAGTTCCTTGGAGCTGAGATGACGGCCTGGCTCAAGAAGCAGGGCATCCAGAGGGAGCTGACCACGGCTTACACCCCACAGTTGAACGGTGTAGCAGAACGGGCGAATTGGACAATTCAGGAGACAGCTAGGGCGCTGCTCATAGAATCTGGGCTGAGCAATTCTATGTGGCCTCATGCTGTCCGGCACGCTACCGTCGCTAGGAACAGGGTGCTCACCAAGGTTGGGGATGACTCGTGGGTGCCGTTGGAGAGGTGGCTTGGGAGGAAGCCGCCGGTGGACATGCTGAGGGTGTTCGGTTGCATGGCAGTCGCCCACGTCCCCAAGACCTACCGCAGTAAGTTGGGGGCAAGTGCAATCTGGTGTGTGCATTTGGGGCTGGCTGCTGAGAGCAAGGGATGGCTGCTGTGGGAACCATCCAAGGGTGTGTTGTTTGACAGCAGGGATGTGAAATTCATTGAGGGCATGATGTATGGGAGCTGGGAGAAACAGCCGGAGGCAAGGGTGTCCCAGCAAATGGAGCAGATCACCATGCAGCTGGACCTGACTCCTAGTGTGTGGGAGGATGGAGAGGAGGCAGCTGCAGGGGGTGGTGATGGAGCGAGGGTACAGGAGGCACCTGCTGGTGGAGAAAATGGTGTGGAAACTGGCGGCAGCACTAGTGGAGCTGCTGGATCCGAGGGAGGAGAGCAGCAGCAGGGAAAAACTAAGAAGCCGAAGGGTGTCGTTATGAAGGGATGGGAGACACCCGTCTCCAGGCCAGGACGTACCCGTATGGCTACTAAGAAGCTGACTGCAGGAACTGATGCAGCAGAGCAGCAGCTAGGGACCGAAGAGGCATTGCTGATTCTACCGCATGGCTATGACCCGGATGAGGAGGATGAGCCTGCGTACTGTTTTCTTGCCCCTGCACCAGAGGAACCAGCTAGCATGGAGGAGGCATTAGCTGGACCAGATAGGGACAAGTGGCTGGCTTCTAGGGATGCTGAGTACCAGAGCCTGCTAGAGAATGGGACATGGGATCTGGTGGTGCTGCCTGATGGGAAGAAAGCGATACAATGCAAGTGGGTGCTGAGGATCAAGACCGATGACAAGGGACAGGTCACCATCTACAAGAGTAGGCTGGTGGCGAAGGGGTTTATGCAGAAGGAGAAGCAGGACTTCAACGAGATCTTTGCTCCCACTGCCAAACCCCCTACCCTCCGTGTCTTGTTGGCAGATGCAGCTGTTAGTGGGAAATTCATCATTCAGATGGATATTTCAACGGCATTCCTGAATGGGATTTTAGAGGAGGATGTGTACATGATGCAGCCGCCTGGGTATGAGGATGGTACGGGCAAGCTCAACAAGTCCATCTACGGCTTGAAGCAGGCGCCACGCTGCTGGTACCAGAAGTTGGCAGCTGTTTTAGAGGAGATGGGATTCAGGACCAGCAGCTGTGATGAGAGCCTCTTTCTCAAGGGCGAGGGGGAGAAGCTGGTGCTGTTTCTGGTCTACGTGGACGACATTCTTCTCTTCAGCAGCAGCATGAAGGAGATCTAGAAAGTGCAGCAGCAACTGATGGAAAACTTCAAGTGCAAGAACCTTGGGGAGGTAAAGTACTACCAGGTGGTTGAAGCTGCACCAGGAGAAGTTCATCAAGGAGCTGGGGGAGAAGTATGGGATTGAGAATGAACGCAAGGTTGCAACTCCCCTGCCAGCAGAATTCAAGCTTGTGAAGGCTGCAGAGGATGAAGGGGTTGAAGCTGAGGAGCAGCAGCAATTTCAGTCCTTGGTGGGCAGCCTCTTGTACGCAGCAGTTCACACGAGGCCCGACATCTCTTTCTCGGTTGGGCAGCTGGCTAGGGTGGTGCAGAATCCATCAGAGGAGCAGGTGGATGCAGCTGAGCGTGTGGTGAAGTACCTGAACTCTCACCCAAGCATTGGAGTTCAATACTCCGCATCTGCACAGGTGAAGCAGAAAGGGGTGGAGGTGCTGAAAGAGAAGGGGGAGAGGCTTGGAGAAGGCAAGCTATTTCTCACTTGCTTTACCGATGCTACGTGGGCTTCTGAGAAGGAGGATTCCTCATCTGTGGGAGGATACATCTGCGTAGTTGGGGGAGGACCTGTTAGTTGGAGGTCCAAGAAGCAGACGGAGACGGCACTCTCTTCCGTAGAATCAGAGTATATGGCGATGTTCCATGGGGTGAAGGAGGTGATTTGGCTGAGGAGGCTGTTAGAGGAGATTGGCCAGGAGCAGAAAGTTGCTACGCCGCTGTTTTGTGATAGCAAGGGGGCTCTTGGGATGGCCAGGAACGCTGTGCTTCATGGGCTGAACAAGCACATGCGTATCAAGTGGCACTGGCTGCGTAAGGAGGTGAAGAGGGGGACGGTGAATCCGATCTACATCAAGACTCACCAGCAGCCAGCAGACTTTCTCACCAAGAGGCTTGCGGATGAGCCTCATTGGCGTTGTGTGCGCATGAGTGGAATGAGCATGAACTAGCATGGAATGATGGGGATGCAGCCGGCAGGCTGAGGGGGAGTGTGTTGGGTGCAAATGCACATTGCACGACATCCTGCCGTCTGTTTGTACGAGTATACGTGTGCGAATGCATTTGCGTGTGAATGGTGTGTTCGTGTGTTTGTTTGCTTTCGCAATTTTCGCTTGAAGCATTTGCAGGTACTCGCGCAATGCGCGCTTCGGCACAACATTGTACGCGCTATGAACAGTGCAAGCAGAAAGGACGAGCTCGCAAAGGAACCCAAGATGGAAGCTTTGCAGTTCGGTTGAGTTGATTGCGCAGATTCAGTTCTATCCAACTCGAAATTGTACTGTTTTGTTTGGTTAACTATAGTGTAGCAGGGAAGGCACTATAGGGGTACAATTTAGGTGAAGGTTGGATGTTGTTTGTCTGTATCTGCATGCTACAAGGCCAGGGGAAACCAGCGGAACCAGCATTTGGCTGGTTGGGCAAAGACAAAACAGGATCTGTTTTTAGAACCTGAACCTGGTTGTTGTTTTCCCAGGTTGGAAAAACAGAACCAGAGGTTGTTTACCAACCTACCACCTGCTATTTTGTCCAGCCAGGTTGGTTGTGTTGCTTGGAATTATTTGGGATTATCCCTGGTTGTTCCCAGGTTGATTCCCAAGGTCTTTGCTAGCTATAACTATTTAATCCTTCTCTGTTTGTACCTGAATATAGTCAATTGATTCAAGCGAATTCCTTCCTCGCTGGAATTTCGTTTCTGCGCTATTCGACGGCGGAATGCTACCCGAGTCAACGCTAGTATGCTAGCACTCCAACGCTAGGCAAACGCTGTCCAAGCCATAACTTAGATTGTATTCCAACGCAGGGACACCATGCGAAGTTGGGACAATTTCCGTGTTGCATGGCTATTTCTCCTAGTTCAACGTGACCTACAAACGATGCTCTGAAAGTTGCAATTATAAAATAAACACACGAATTTCTTAGCAATGTCAGTACACCGCTCGTCTCAAGTGTCAGTCAGTTGAGTAAGTGCGGCTGAGTGAGTTCATCTGACTCGTATGAGATGTTTTCCAGCCTTTCAAACTACGGGGTAACATCTGACGTAGACTTCCATTCGAAAGCAAATAAAAAATTTAAAAAAAAAAAACAACCAGGTGTCCCTACTTCGGATGGTGTCCCTACGTAGGAATACAATCTTAGTAATGGCAGAACTTTTCGCAAGGCAACTTGGCTCATTTTAAAGCTCTTGGAGCGAGCTTCGATATAGCGAATTCTCAGCTTTATCCGATCGACGGTCTGCACGGCACGCTGCGCGACGTTCAAGGTACTCTTGCTGTTTTGACTAAGTCTTTCTTGATCCCTCTCTCTACAAACTCGGACCCGAGGATAGGGGCTGGTCTTGTACCAGGCACCCAGGGATCCTTGGAGGTGACCCCGAGGAGAGGTTTTAAGTCAGGTGCATCCACCTGCTCCTCTGATGGATTCTGCACCACCCTAGCCAGCTGCCCAACCGAGAAAGAGATGTCGGGCCTCGTGTGAACTGCTGCGTACAAGAGGCTGCCCACCAAGGACTGAAATTGCTGCTGCTCCTCGGCTTCAACCCCTTCATCCTCTGCAGCCTTCACAAGCTTGAATTCTGCTGGCAGGGGAGTTGCAACCTTGCGCTCATTCTCAATCCCATACTTCTCCCCCAGCTCCTTGATGAACTTCTCCTGGTGCAGCTTCAACCACCTGTGATCAGGATCCCTCTCCACGTGCATCCCGAGGTAGTACTTTACCTCCCCAAGGTTCTTGCACTTGAAGTTTTCCATCAATTGCTGCTGCACTTTCTGGATCTCCTTCATGCTGGTGATGAAGAGAAGAATGTCGTCCACGTAGACCAGAAACAGCACCAGCTTCTCCCCCTTGCCCTTGAGAAAGAGGCTCTCATCACAGCTGCTGGTCCTGAATCCCATCTCCTCTAAAACAGTTGCCAACTTCTGGTACCAGCAGCGTGGCGCCTGCTTCAAGCCGTAGATGGACTTGTTGAGCTTGCACACCCTGCCCGTACCATCCTCATACCCAGGCGGCTGCGTCATGTAGACATCCTCCTCTAAAATCCCATTCAGGAATGCCGTTGAAATATCCATCTGAATGATGAATTTTCCACTAACAGCTGCATCTGCCAACAAGACACGGAGGGTAGGGGGTTTGGCAGTGGGAGCAAAGATCTCGTTGAAGTCCTGCTTCTCCTTCTGCATAAACCCCTTCGCCACCAGCCTACTCTTGTAGATGGTGACCTGCCCCTTGTCATCGGTCTTGATCCTCAGCACCCACTTGCATTGTATCGCTTTCTTCCCATCAGGCAGCACCACCAGATCCCATGTCCCATTCTCCAGCAGGCTCTGGTACTCAGCATCCCTAGAAGCCAGCCACTTGTCCCTATCTGGTCCAGCTAATGCCTCCTCCATGCTAGCTGGTTCCTCTGGTGCAGGGGCAAGAAAACAGTACGCAGGCTCGTCCTCCTCATCCGGGTCATAGCCATGAGGTAGAATCAGCATTGCCTCCTCGGTCCCAAGCTGCTGCTCTGCTACACCTGATCCTGCAGTCAGCTTCTTAGTAGCCATACGGGTGCGTCCTGGCCTGGAGACGGGTGTCTCCCATCCCTTCATAACGACACCCTTCGGCTTCTTAGTTTTCCCCTGCTGCTGCTCTCCTCCCTTGGATCCAGCAGCTTCACTAGTGCTGCCGCCAGTTTCCACACCATTTTCTCCACCAGCAGGTGCCTCCTGTACCTTCTCTCCATCACCATTCCCCGCAGCTGCCTCCTCTCCCTCCTCCCACACACTAGGAGTCAGGTCCAGCTGCATGGTGATCTGCTCCATCTGCTGGGACACCCGGGCCTCCGGCTGTTTCTCCCAGCTCCCATACATCATGGCCTCAATGAATTTCACATCCCTGCTGTCAAACAACACACCCTTGGATGGTTCCCACAGCAGCCATCCCTTGCTCTCAGCAGCCAGCCCCAAATGCACACACCAGATTGCACTTGCCCCCAACTTACTGCGGTAGGTCTTGGGGACATGGGCGACTGCCATGCAACCGAACACCCTCAGCATGTCCACCGGCAGCTTCCTCCCAAGCCACCTCTCCAAAGGCACCCACGAGTCATCCCCAACCTTAGTGAGCACCCTGTTCCTAGCGACGGTGGCGTGCCGGACAGCATGAGGCCACATAGAATTGCTCAGCCCAGATTCTATGAGCAGCGCCCTAGCTGTCTCCAGAATTGTCCGGTTCGCCCGTTCTGCTACGCCGTTCGACTGTGGGGTATAAGCCGTGGTCAGCTCTCTCTGGATGCCCTGCTTCTTGAGCCAGGCCATCATTTCAGCTCCAAGGAACTCACCACCCCAGTCTGTCCTAATCCGCTTCACCACACATTCCGCTTGCTTCTCCACGAACGGCAGCCAATCGTCCCGAATCGTGGAGGCGGCGTGATCTTTCTGCTTCAGCGGATACGCCCACATGAGTCTGCTCCAATCATCCACTATGGTCAGAAAGTACCGCTCCCCCTTGTGCCCCTGAACCGGCAGCGGCTCCACCAAGTCCATGTGGACCAGCTCCAAAGGCTTCTTGCTCCTGCCAGCCACACTATGGAAGGGAAAACGGGTAAACTTTGAGAGCAAACAGATTTCACAGTTATCATCGGGTGGCTGTCCGTTCAGCTTCAGACCCTTAACGGCTCCATCCTTCTCCAGCTGCTTCAGCAAGGGCATTGCCACATGCCCCAAGCGTCGATGTGCCGTTGCCCAATCCGTCGACACTTTCACACCTACCCCTCCAACGGCGTTGCACTCCCCCTGGGATGCAGACCCCTCTCCAGCCTGCCTCCCGCCGTGCCACGCCAACGCCGGCAGCTGCCACATAGATCTGTACACGTCTTTGCTCTCGTGCAGATCCCAAAGCACCCGGTTTCCTAGCTGCCCCTTGTACGTGCGTGCCCCATCCGTGCTAGTGCTCACCCCAGCCTTGGCAAGCTTACGGAGGGAGATGAGGTTGGCCTTGAGTTCAGGAACGAGAAGAACGTCGTGCAGCACCACCAGCTTGCCATCCGCTCCCTTAAACGCAGCTCATCCCGCACCAGCCACCTTCAGCGCGTGTCCAGAGGCACAGAACACCTCATTGATCGGTGCAGCGCGTACGTCGTCCAGCAGGTCCTTGCGCGGCGTCATCGTCCAAGCAGCGCCCGTGTCCAACACCCAATAGTCCAGGGGGTGCAGCTCTGCTCCAACCTTGGCAGATGCGTCTCCTTGCTCCCCCTTGTCTCCCACATGGAAGAATTGGCCCGCGGTGCGCTCCTTCTTCTCCGCACCACCGTTGCCCTTCGGGTTGTTGTCGGACGAATCAGCGACCATGTTGGCGCCGTTTTTCTGGTTCCTTCGCGCGCCGCCATCCTGTTGACGATTCTGGGGGGTCCATCCATCGGGTTTCTTATAGCACAAAAACCAGGGGTGCCCCTCCTTCTCACAATACCAGCAACTCCCTTTCATTTTGCCACCAGCACCCGACTTGCCCCCACGTCCAGATTTCGCACCGCGACCCCAACCGGTACCTCCTTGTTGGTCGTTGGAGTCGTCGTCCTTCTTTGCACCGCGCCCAGCACCACCGAAGCCACGTCCTCTGCCACGTCGGCTCCCTTGCATCCCATAGCCGCTGCTGCCGTCGTCTCCACCCCTCAGTTGGCGTAGACGAAAGTCCTCCTCCACAATCTTTGTCCGCACCCACTCGAGTGTCCACGAGCTCTGGTTCTGCGGCAGGCTCAATCCGCTCGTGAATTGAAGCCACGATTCAGGCAGCAGCGAGAGCATCTTCAAGCACTTGGTCTGCTCCGGGTAGGTGATTCCCGCGGTCGCCAACTTCGCGTAGAGGTCGCGCATCTTGTCCAGGACAGGTTGCACCGGCTCTCCCTCGCTCAGGCGCAACGCGGACAGCTCCCTCTCCAGCATCAACGTTGCGACAACGGAGGTCGGGGCGTGCAGCTCCTTCAACACGGTCCACGCCTTCGGACCGCATTCAACCTCCGGCAGCAGGTGCATGACGTGGTGACGCTGGTTCAGCTCCAAACTCTGCGACATCAAGTAGTAGCCAGCCGAGGAGCGCTCGTCCCAATCTTCCTGCAGCGTGGGGTCACTCGGTCTAGGCTCCTCCCCAATCATTAGTTTCAGCAAACCGATCTGACGGAAATACAATTGCATTTTCCAGGCCCAATCATCATAGCCCTCACCATTGAACTTCTCGACGGTGAAATTCTTCAGCACCTCCTTGATCAGCGAGCTCTGGTTGGTTCGCGCTCCCCTTGGCGCCGAAACACCAGAATCTTGGCTGCCGCTACGATCTTGGGCTGAAGATTCACCAGCTCCCGCCGAGGTATTGCCCGCCATAGCTAACTATAACGAGGATCACTATAACGCAGCTCTGATACCAGCTTGTTGGTGTAAGGGCCTAATAAACTCAAGCTATTAGGACTTAATCAAACTTAAAACCTCTCCTCGGGGTCACCTCCAAGGGTCCCTGGGTGCCTGGTACAAGACCAGCCCCTATCCTCGGGTCCGAGTTTGTAGAGAGAGGGATCAAGGAGGACTTAGTCAAAACAGCAAGAGTACCTTGAACGTCGCGCAGCGTGCCGTGCAGACCGTCGATCGGATTAAGCTGAGAATTCGCTATATCGAAGCTCGCTCCAAGAGCTTTAAAATGAGCCAAGTTGCCTCGCGAAAAGTTCTTCCATTACGAAGTTCTGGCTCGGACAGCGTTTGCCTAGCGTTGGAGTGCTAGCATACTAGCGTTGACTCGGGTAGCATTCCGCCAACGAACCGCGTAGAAACGAAATTCCAGCGAGGAAGGAATTCGCATGAATCAATTGACTATATTCAGGTACAAACAGAGAAGGATTAAATAGTTCTAGCTAGCAAAGACCTTGGGAATCAACCTAGGAACAACCAGGGATGATCCCAAATAATTCCAAGCAACAGAACCAACCTGGCTGGACAAAATAGCAGGTGGTAGGTTGGTAAACAACCTCTGGTTCTGTTTTTCCAACCTGGGAAAACAACAACCAGGTTCAGGTTCTAAAAACAGAACCTGTTTTGTCTTTGCCCAACCAGCCAAATGCTGGTTCCGCTGGTTTCCCCTGGCCTTGTAGCATGCAGATACAGACAAACAACATCCAACCTTCACCTAAATTATACCCCTATAGTGCCTTCCCTGCTACACTATAGTTAACCAAACAAAGCAGTACAATTTCGAGTTGGATAGAACTGAATCTGTGCAATCAACTCAACCGAACTGCAAAGCTTCCATCCTGGGTTCCTTTGCGAGCTCGTCCTTTCTGCTTGCACTGTTCATAGCGCGTACAATGTTGTACCGAAGCGCACATTGCGCGAGTACCTGCAAATGCTTCAAGCGAAAATTGCGAAAGCAAACAAACACACGAACACACCATTCACACGCAAATGCATTTGCACACGCATACTCGTACAAACAGACGGCAGGATGTCGTGCAATGTGCATTTGCACCCAACAAGAATGAGCGCAAGGTTGCAACTCCCCTGCCAGCAGAATTCAAGCTTGTGAAGGCTGCAGAGGATGAAGGGGTTGAAGCCGAGGAGCAGCAGCAATTTCAGTCCTTGGTGGGCAGCCTCTTGTACGCAGCAGTTCACATGAGGCCCGACATCTCTTTCTCGGTTGGGCAGCTGGCTAGGGTGGTGCAGAATCCATCAGAGGAGCAAGTGGATGCAGCTGAGCGTGTGGTGAAGTACCTGAACTCTCACCCAAGCATTGGAGTTCAATACTCCGCATCTGCACAGGTGAAGCAGAAAGGGGTGGAGGTGCTGAAAGAGAAGGGGGAGAGGCTTGGAGAAGGCAAGCTCTTTCTCACTTGCTTTACTGATGCTACTTGGGCTTCTGAGAAGGAAGATTCCTCATCTGTGGGAGGATACATCTGCGTAGTTGGGGGAGGACCTGTTAGTTGGAGGTCCAAGAAGCAGACGGAGACGGCACTCTCTTCCGTAGAATCAGAGTACATGGCGATGTTCCATGGGGTGAAGGAGGTGATTTGGCTGAGGAGGCTGTTAGAGGAGATTGGCCAGGAGCAGAAGGTTGCTACGCCGCTGTTTTGTGATAGCAAGGGGGCTCTTGGGATGGCCAGGAATGCTGTGCTTCATGGGCTGAACAAGCACATGCGTATCAAGTGGCACTGGCTGCGTAAGGAGGTGAAGAGGGGGACGGTGAATCCGATCTACATCAAGACTCACCAGCAGCCAGCAGACTTTCTCACCAAGAGGCTTGCGGATGAGCCTCATTGGCGTTGTGTGCGCATGAGTGGAATGAGCATGAACTAGCATGGAATGATGGGGATGCAGCCGGCAGGCTGAGGGGGAGTGTGTTGGGTGCAAATGCACATTGCACGACATCCTGCCGTCTGTTTGTACGAGTATGCGTGTGCAAATGCATTTGCGTGTGAATGGTGTGTTCGTGTATTTGTTTGCTTTCGCAATTTTCGCTTGAAGCATTTGCAGGTACTCGCGCAATGTGCGCTTCGGCACAACATTGTACTCGCTATGAACAGTGCAAGCAGAAAGGACGAGCTCGCAAAGGAACCCAAGATGGAAGCTTTGCAGTTCGGTTTAATTGATTGCGCAGATTCAGTTCTATCCAACTCGAAATTGTACTGTTTTGTTTGGTTAACTATAGTGTAGCAGGGAAGGCACTATAGGGGTACAATTTAGGTAAAGGTTGGATGTTGTTTGTCTGTATCTGCATGCTACAAGGCCAGAGGAAACCAGCGGAACCAGCATTTGGCTGGTTGGGCAAAGACAAAACAGGTTCTGTTTTTAGAACCTGAACCTGGTTGTTGTTTTCCCAGGTTGGAAAAACAGAACCAGAGGTTGTTTACCAACCTACCACCTGCTATTTTGTCCAGCCAGATTGGTTCTGTTGCTTGGAATTATTTGGGATCATCCCTGGTTGTTCCCAGGTTGATTCCCAAGGTCCTTGCTAGCTATAACTATTTATTCCTTCTCTGTTTGTACCTGGATATAGTCAATTGATTCATGCGAATTCCTTCCTCGCTGGAATTTTGTTTCTACGCGGTTCGTTGGCGGAATGCTACCCGAGTCAACGCTAGTATGCTAGCACTCCAACGCTAGGCAAACGCTCTCCGAGCCATAACTTAGTAATGGCAGAACTTTTCGCGAGGCAACTTGGCTCATTTTAAAGCTCTTGGAGCGAGCTTCGATATACCGAATTCTCAGCTTAATCCGATCGACGGTCTGCACGGCACGCTGCGCGACGTTCAAGGTACTCTTGCTGTTTTGACTAAGTCCTCCTTGATCCCTCTCTCTACAAACTCGGACCCGAGGATAGGGGCTGGTTTTGTACCAGGCACCCAGGGACCCTTGGAGGTGACCCCGAGGAGAGGTTTTAAGTTTGATTAAGTCCTAATAGCTTGAGTTTATTAGGCCCTTACACCAATAGGAAGTCCCTTCAGGACGTGCGCAACGTACGATGCCGAGGGGTACTGCACGCCAGACATCTTCGTGGTGGTCAAAAGTCGCCGAGCCCGGTTGCAATTGTCGGTCACAGTCTCCTGGTCGCCCATCCGCAGATGCGTCATCTGCTCCTCGAGCTGGCCGATGTAAATGTCATTGGTAACCTGGTACGTCGACTCGATGAAGTGCCATGCCTGGTGGCCGGCGTCCAAGTAGTCCCTGCACGGCTTCAAGGCGATCTGCACGCCCGGCGAGCAGCACCGCGAGATGACCATGAAGGTCTGCACAACGCAAAACTCCGCACGCAGCTCGGGATAGTTCTCCGACAGCGTCGTTACGGTGCCGGCGGCGAAGCCCATCAGCCCGGCCATCTCCAGCTGAGGCTCGATGGCTTCCTTCCAGGTGAGAATGTCGGGTCGACCGACCAGCCAAGGGGTGATAGAGATTTGGTCCGGCGTAAACTTGAAGTAGCCGTAGCTTGGCGCTATCCCGCCCGCTGTCACTTGAGTCGTCGACAACGGCATCACCCTGCTCCGACGTCCTCTGACGTCAACATGCGAGGAGCCTGCAGCCGCTGACGATTGCATCCCTCACACCTGAACGCCGCTGACTTCATCAGCGTAAATCACCTCTCGCTGCCTCGACGACATGCCTCCCGCACTGCTGCCGACTTGGTCACCGTTGTTGACGCCCACGCCGACGCCGCCCTCGTTGTTCGCCGGTCGAGGAGAGACAGGCCGAGAAGGGTGCTCCATCACCCACACAGTGCGGATGCCAGCCTCGACGATCGCCAAAGGGAGGACGCTGTACTCGTTAGCTTCGCAACGTCTCCCCTCGCTTTCCAACCGTGCCTCCAGGGTGTCCACCACCCCTGCGTCACCTACGGCTCCTACCATAGTGACTACTGCATAGCGGCCGGCCTACAAACAACGTCGGACAGTGTTGAAGTCGGCTAAACCGAAGGTATCGTTGCGGTGCCTTTCACACTCACCGCACCATGCGGAGATAACTTTAGCAACGGGAGCTAGACTACGGGCTAGGCACGGGGCAAGCGTGATCTCCGCATTCCTTCCTTAGTCGTTTGCTTGTGCTCTCACTACTTGCTGGTCTACGGGGAAATTTGGTGTTGGGTGCAAATTTACATTGCACAACATCCTGCGATCTGCTTGTACAAGTATGCGTGTCCGAATGCATTTGGGTGTGAATGGAATGTTCGCGTTTTGCTTGCTTTCACAATTTTCGCTTTATGCATTTGCAGGTACTCGCACAATGTGCGCTTCGGCACAACATTGTACGCGCTATGAACAATGCAAGCAGAAAGGACGAGCTCGCAAAGGAACCCAAGATGGAAGCTATGCGGCTCGGTTTTATTGATTGCGCAGATTCAGTTCTATCCAACTCGAAATTGTACTGTTTTGCTTGGTTGACTATAGTGTAGCAGGGCAGGCACTATAGGGGTACAATTTTGGTGAAGGTTGGATGTTGTTTGTCTGACTGTATCTGCATGCTACAGGGCCAGGGGAAACCAGCGGAACCAGCATTTGGCTGGTTGGGCAAAGACAAAACAGGTTCTGTTTTTAGAACCTGAACCTGGTTGTTGTTTTCCCAGGTTGGAAAAACAGAACCAGATGTTGTTTACCAACCTACCACCTGCTATATTGTCCAGCCAGGTTGGTTCTGTTGCTTGGAATTATTTGAGATCATCCCTGGTTGTTCCCAAGTTGATTCCCAAGGTCCTTGCTAGCTAGAAGTATTTATTCCTTCTCTGTTTGTACCTGGATATAGTCAATTGATTCAAGCGAATTCCTTCCTCGCTGGAGTTTCGTTTCTGCACTATTCAACGTCGGAATGCTACCCGAGTCAATGCTAGTATGCTAGCACTCCAACGCTAGGCA